ATGTCTTCTTTTGAATGTACATGTAGATACAAGTTTTGTCACACCTAACAGATTTGGTAAAAAATAAATGTGACCAAGGTGAGATAAAATAGGAGATTTTTTTTAAGTTACCGCTCCACGTTTTTCATTCCAGATGGCACTATTTTTTTATTTATTATATTTTTTGTCTCTGCAGACTAAGGAAGTGAGAAATCCTTTGTGCAGTAGTGCTGAAAAAGCATTACATTGTCTTCCTTTCCTAACAGAAGTTGGTGCAATTCTAATTGGACTTTGGGCCTTCAGAGAATCGAGGGCGAGTGTTGTTTCAAACTCAATTTAAAAACTGTTTATCATTTTGTTGCGTTTATGCATTTTAATTTCCTCACTGGATTTTTTTTCTTATGGAAATCATTACCCTTGTGAAGACCAGCAATCCTCGTTGGGACCAAAACCACATCTTAATCAGACGCCACTACAGCACTCCTGTGGAATGGGGATAAAGTGTTAATTTACCTTTGAGTTATACATACATTTGTAATGATTGACAAGTTTTATGGTCCAGTTTCCACAAATTCTTAGAAATAAATATGTCTTTGTCAGGATATCTGTGTGTGTGTTTGAGAGAGATACTAGTAAGACCCTGCGGTGTTTATTCCATCAAAGTTTCAGTATAATTTGATCATTTAAAACAATTCATTTTTATATATAGCAGAGCAGATGACTGTTTTTCAATTTGGAAATTTCTCATCCAGTTAAATTGATTACGAGATGATCTACTCTACAAGAAAAAAAGCCATTTAATTTATCTCCGCTCGTGCCCCTGGGAATAAAGCCACTGTGGTCAGCAGTAAATTACACTGCAATGGCCGAATGTGGAGGAGCTTAAATCGCTGTAGTTGCCGAGTGGAAGGAAGAACAAAAGTCCTCCCGATCCAAAACAATGCCGAACAACAGGCCCGGTGCAGAAACTCCCCGGCAGCTCTCAGTCTCCGTTTCACATCTCGAGTGTCCCTTCACCTGGTTTAACCTCATGCTTAACACCTCCTTCACTCCACGTACAGCTGGTTTCTCTCTCTGTCAATCTCCACATCGTTCAAATCTGCTACAAGAAAGGGCGTCAGCCCTTTCATCTAATCATACTCTTTTTTTTTTTTCTTCTTCTAAAATTAGTTTTCATGTCTATATATATATATATATATATTTAATTCATAGAGCCAAGACTGAATCAGTGGGAATCTAAGGTCCAACTTGTCTCAGATCTTGATCAATTATAGAAACGGAGCTCTTTCCAGGGCTTTCTGCTGCATTAGAGGATATCAATGACCTTTTGAATTGTCTATATTGTCACATTTAGATAGTAAATTGACACACTTTAATACACACTTGTCTCAAAAGACCCTAATTGATTCAGTAAGTTTTTTTTTAAAATATATATAATGGAGTGGACTTCAATTGGAGCTCTGAAGGAAACACATCACTGCTGTGGGTCATACTGGAGATTATTGGGATATTGTTTCCCCCCAATGCTTCCAGACAGGTGTGTTTTTAGTCACATTCCTCTGTGCTCAAATAGCAGTAATGTTTACACGCTGTGACTAACAAGCTGAATATTTTACTGGCTGTGTTTTTATTTACTGAGTCAAGTGTCTTCACCACCTGCTGCAGCATAAAACAATATCTGTGTTTATGCTTCGTTTCACCATCGCATCTCAGTTTGACACCCAGATTTTTCTCATTATCTTTAACAATTTACAACAGAGATGTGAAGGATTGGCAAATTAAATAATGCTGCAGACAGAAGGAAACACACCCCCCCCCCCCATTTCATTTTAGCACAAATTTGAGATGATTTGCCAGCCATTAGAAATTGTTACCTGACAGTACTGTACGTCTTCATTAACCCCTGCCGAGATGATCTGTTGGGGGAGAGCTAATTCAAATATGTGGCTCAATACTGTGCATAAGTATTACTAGGGATGCACAATATTTGGATTTTTGGCCAATATCCGATATGCCAATATGTTAAAACTTATTTGGCCAATAACCGATACCAGTACAGATAGATTTTTCCCTAGATCTACTTAAAGAGACTACATAGCTTTCTGTGCTGTGGAATTAAAATTCTACATTATTCTGCATGGCAGCACAACTGGTAGAGCTGCTGCCTCTCAGCAAGCAGGTCCCTGGTTTAAATCCCGGTCCAGGGGCCTTTCTGGGTGGAGTTTGCATGTTCTCTTCGTGCATGCGTGGGTTTTCTCCGGGTACTCGGGTTTCCTCCCACATACCAAAAACATGCATGTTAGGCTGACTGGTAACTGTAAATTGTCCCTAGGTGTGAGTGAGAGAGTGAATGGTTGTTTGTCTCGTTTGTCTCTATGTGTCCCTGTGATGGACTTGAGACCCGTCCAGGGTCCCGTCCCGTCCAGGAAGAAGCGGGTAAAAGATAATGGATGGATGGATGGATGTGTAAAACTTAAAAAATTTATGTCAATCTGTTTTAAACTTGGAACACATTAAAGCTTTTTACAAATTATTTATTGAAATTATTTATTTAGAAATCCACTATTTTTTTTCTTAGTCAGAATTAGGTAGAATCACTTTTTTAGGTGTACCAAACCAGACAAGAAATAAAGTACATTTTTTGAGATGATGCCATGAGGTGAAATAATTATTTAAAAAGTGTTTTCTGCAGGATACAAATCTTATGCAGTCATAAAAATGCTTCTAATAACAAAGCAATTCAAGTAATTTATTTTTACATTTAAAGTCTGAAATATTAAGTATTTTAATACAAATTTAAGTGTAAAATGAGTAAATCAACAATAGTGACAACATGGCTAAATCTGACTGTCTTTAAAACTCGCAGCAGTATTGGGTCACAAAAACCTTCCAGATACACACAAATTTGATCCCTCTGAGACTTTTTGTGTTGTCATTGTTGATATGTCAGTCATGTGGAGCTGCACAGCATTATCTTTCTATGTGTTGCATGTGAGCGTGTGTCAGCACTTTGAATAGACCTGGAACCAGTTTGTCTTGCAGAACTGCAACAACCAAACAACACCCACCTCGCCCTTGCCCTGTTCTTTGAAATGTGACTTTTGTCTTATTTTTCCCCCAACGACTCATAGTAAATACAATATATTTGCTTTGGTTTGATTTTTGGCCGTCAGACACCACCGTCTCATGTTTGTGGAAAGGCGTGCCATCCTCAACTTGTTTTTATCTAGTTTTTCACAGCACACAGAGACGGACACGTGTTGATGGATGTTTTGATTTATTGATCAATGAACACTGTGTGGTTTATGCTCTAGAATTATTCCAGCATCTACAATGTTAATCCATCTTTTAAATGCACAAATAACCATATAAAATAGTCTAATGTCATTAAGTGTTTTGGCAGTGTGCATTGGTTTTATTGATTTATAGTGGTGCAAATGAAACCAAGCAAGGCTATTAAATAGAACTCCTTCAATTATAACTTGTGTTGCATGATTAAACAATAAATATTCAGCAGTTTTAGATCAGCACCAAGTCCCAAACCATGTATGTATTTATTTTTGACAATTTGTTACGATGTACAGCCTCACCCTTTGACCTCTGCCTTCTTAGCTGTGTTTATGTAACTCAAGTGGAGGTATGTGATGTAATGTTCTTAAAGTGCTATGTGGCTAATCTGTTTTAGTTTTTTTTTATTTTTATGCTGCTATGAGTCACTTTGTCTTGTTCCTTTTGTCTTGTTCCTTTTTTAAAGATAAACTAGGGATGCACGATATTGGATTTTTGGCCGATAACCCGATTTGTTAAAACTTATTTGACCCATAACCGATACCGATACCAATACCGATATATATTTTTTTCCTAACCTACTTACAGAAACTACATGGCTTTCTCTGGAATTAAAATACTACATTATTCTGCATGGTCTTTGTCAGTTTGGCCTGCTACCAAATGCAGATGCCAAAAAGTGTAACACTTCAACTTGGATTATGTTTAATGTCAAATTTATTCATGACATTTACTCTCTAACACGATGACAACACTCAAACAGTGCAAATTTGTCAATTTTCTCAAATCTCAACTCAACCTGGTCACAAGCTACAAGTGAAAAGTGCACAAGTAGTAGTGCATGAATAGATATACTTGACAGTTTATTAAATCAAAAATTAACTTAAAACAGAAGCCTTTTATATCGGTGAGTTATTTTGATGGCATGGCCAATGTCCGATATTTAACTTTATCGCTAATATCGGCCGATACCATGTCGATAATATCGCACATCCCTAAGATAAACCTATTTCCTACGTTTTCTTATTCTTAAAATGCAACATAAGCTCACAGAAAGAAACCTTTACACCAGTGGTTAATTTCCCTTCTAATTACTACTCAGCTCACTGATGCTAATTTTGTTCACTTTGAACAGATATATTAACTTGCTTTAACACCTCCTTTTGCAGGATTTTATTATTTTCTTACAGCGACTGCCCATTTAGGGAGTTCAGTGCGCCTTACAGGGCTCAAGGCCCTATGAGCATATCTGGGTTCAAAAGGAATCTGGATGACCTTTAAGTGTCCATAGATGTCTAGGTTAAATAGAACATACCGCATGTATATATAAAAAATACTTTGTAGATGTCTAAACCCTTTTTGACAATAAAAGATGTATTCATTTAGCAAGGATTTTCTAGAAACATAATTATGTGTGTGACTCTGAAGTGCATTTTTTTAGTGTCCTTACATGCTGCTGAGCTGAGCAGCCACATTTCTACAAGCTGCTCACCTGAACGTTCATTCACTGCCATGTTTAACATCTGGGTCAGGGCTGCTCACGTGAGCAACCCTCGGAGTGACAAAGCCACTCTTATTAACTCTTTCTGAGCTAGGCTAAAACTAATTCCTGCCATGTGTAATTTATTCATAATTTAATGAGCTTGTGGGCTGAATTTGAAGTGTTGGCTGCCACTTGATGATCTGAGCTATAAGTGCAGTCAGTCTGATCTAACTTTAAATTTGTTTTTCAGGTAAACTCAAGGTGACCCTGTCCGACTCCACAGAGTGACACTGGACTGATTGACTGACACAATAAGAGGGTGGAAGAGAAAACAGAGAAAGGTAAGTTGATTAAAAAAGCACCTCTTCTTTTTTTATGTATACCTACAGAACTGAACCTTGAGTTGTCACTTTGTCCTTTGAATGTAAGATTAGCTCAAAAAGTAAAAAGAAAAGTTTACCTGTGTTAACGTAAAATGAAAAACGGGTGTCGCATCTTGACAGAAATTAGTAAAACTTAAAGGACTGAATTTCACTTAAACACAGTTTTATTGTACATGTGTGGTGGTTGTGTAAGTGTAAATATGAACTGCACTCCTTCAAATTATAAACTTTTTTCCTTCATATGTTAATGTTTTTCTGGAAGGCTTTTACAACAGTTACTCAGTTATCAGTTTGCTTTACAGCTGTATAATATACAGAAAATTTCTTGGTATTTAACTATCACCGTGAAAATAAATATATATACACATATAAAACAAAAGAAATATATATACACATATAAAACAACGCCTTTTGTATTGGCGAGTTATTTTGATGGAATGTCCGATATTTAACTTTATCGCTAATATCAGCTGATACCAATACCATGCCAATAATATCGTGCATCCCTAAAAAATACGTATATGGCAATCCAGTACAATTTATGACATATATGGTTTTATTGCAACTGATATATCCATCACAATATTCTACATTAATATTGAATCACATCATTTCCTAATACTTTGTAGCCCTGGTTCATCAGCTTAATGATTTATCCATCTACTCGTTAAAAGCAAACACATTTTAAAATAATTTTGGTCGCTGACAGAATCTTTTGGAATTTTTTTTTTTATCCGACGACTATTTTTATCTAAATATAAAGTATTGTGCTTTGCTGTAATGATAATGTAATTTTTACTTTTTCTTTACGCGTTTTACCAGTGGAAGAAAATTTAAAATTATATGCATGAATTTGTCTGGTACCAAAATGTGTATAAGTCTGCTAAAGCAGTTGTGAGATGTGAAAAAAACAATGTGTACTTAGAAACATAAAGAAAGGTTACATTTTAAGCTTTTGACCTATACCCTGAAGCTTGTGGTTAAAAATCTTCAGGGACACTGAAATCCCAAGCTTAGGAGAATCACAAACACCAAAAGATTTCTTTAAAGCCTTCACATGATCTATTTTGTTCTAAAACAAAAGATCTGGACCATCAGCATCTTGTATGAGTTTTGGTGTAATATCAGTCCACGACGACTGATATCCTTCACTCATTGTCTCATCATAAAGAGCTTTATTATTTTCATAAGTTGAATATTCCTCATAATAGAGATTATTTTTTTTAAATCTAACACTATTTGCCTTCTGTGCTAAGGTTGCAGTAAAACTTTTTGTTTTCACACTCAGTTGAGGAAAAACGTGACTCTGATACTGTATCTTGCAGTGGGACCGTGTCTATTTCACACCTTGTCGTAATACTGGTGGTGCCCTTTCAAGTGTGTATATACAACTATGGTTTAAATTTACAACGCCAACCTTGAACACCCCACACGCACTTATCTGTGGCCGTACTCGTAAAACAAAACAAAATGCTTCAGTAATTTGTGGCCTTGTTGTCACCGTTATCATTACAGATGTTTTCAATCTCAGTCAGTCAGGGCTTGTGGTCTGAGTGGTTGCAGAGTTCACACTCTGCTTTGGTAAGCGCCTACTTATGTAGTAAAGTAGTTTTCATGCAGCTCACCCAGTGACCTTTCCCACTATCATCTCAGTGGGAGTGTTTGGGGTCTCCCTCTGCATGTTTTTCAGTGTAAATAGAGATTTAGCAAATTACAGGTGAGACCATGCAGAAAAATATCCTCCACTACTCTTCTCCACTTCCCATAACTCAAAGGAAGCTTTAGCTCAGCAGGAAGTATTTTTTCAGTAGTGTGTCGGAGTTGATTCACTCAATTTAGTATGAACTAATTATTTTTAAGGTCTATGAATTACTGAATAACTTGCGGAGACAAAATATCAGGCGTATGTTTAAATTTAGCCTCGTATGAGACACAAGGTAAAACAATTGATCATTGGTGAAAACTGAATCAGCACTTGATCAGCAAGCTGAGTTCTGCTGAACAGGTTTGAACAAAGCAAACTGTTTCCCTGTTTGTTCACGTCTTCCATTTAGTTCAATCTAATATAAACTGGTTCACTTTCATGTTTACTGAAACAGACTTAATTTGAAGACCCAAAATTCCTTGAAGGAATGCAGATCATAGATGAGGGTAGCTCAAAGTATGTGTTGAGGATGACTCTCAGCAACTCCCACACAAAGTTTTAGCTCAATATCTTCAAAACTGACTGTGCTATTGCCGTTTTTATTCTGTCTAGCTTCAACAATGGTTGCCATCACAATATGGGTTGACTTCAAAGTTAATGAGTTGTAGATAGGCCTGTTGCAATAAACAATTAATCAATTAATCGCATGATAAATGAAAATGATCAACCTTGTTTTCATTTATTGGCTTTATCGTTTCTTTGTGTCTGTTTCTGTTGAAGACACTGGATGACAAAAGGCTCAACTCCGGTGCTCTTCACTGACCCCTCCCTTTGTCTTTTCTCTGTTTTAACCATCCAAAATTGCGTTTTTGGATGGTTAAAAAAAGCTAAACTGAGAAGCTAAGCTACGAGTTAAGCTAACAGGCCAACCTCGGGGGGGAAAAAAACTTCAGTCTTGTCAAAGCTCCAAAATTCAAGGTTGAAACTCGTGCCTTTGTCTAAAAAGTTGTTTTTCTCTGCAAAAAGAAGCTGAGAACTTGTTTACTGATTTTTTTTAATTAAAAACTTTGTGTGAAAAATGCTATGCTAAAGAGCTCAAACCACACCGAGCGTCCACCATTTTGAGAACTGAAAAACAGGAATGAGAGTCAGCCCATGTTACGTCAAGAGTCCTCCCTTCCATTTTTCTTAGATATACGCTGCTTGCTCCCTCACTATCCATTCTTCGGTTTAAACAGTCCTATACTGCCATACAGTGGTCAAAAAATATACTACATACAAAAATTAACTAACATTTCTTATTAAATTTGACAGTTACTAATTATCAAATTTCAAACAATATTATCGTTTATCGCAATAGTTTCTGAGACAATTAATCGTCCAGCAAAATTTGTTATTGTGACAGACCTAGTTCTAGATGTATTTTTTGAGTTTTATTAAATTTTCTCCAGTAGTTCATGGCATATTTTCTAAACATTTCTTCAAGCTGTTGTGGCCATCATATATTAAGTTGAATCCATGAAAAAAAAAAAAAGATCAGTTGTAGATGTACACTCTGTGATTAAATTCTGAATTTTTTTATTAAAATATGTGAAGTGACTTGAGATATTTTGCTAACAAACAAAGTCCAATAGGTGCTGGGAAAGTTTTAAGCAATTCCCAGGTTGCCCTTTTAATGATGCTCCCACTACCCTTCCACTAAACAGTTTTTTTTTTACTTTTCTCTTGTTGCCTTCACAACTGTTGGTTTTTTCCACTTGTCACCAATAGACGATGCTCCTGTCTTTATATCTTCCCGTCTTCTTCTTGCTTTCTTCTTGCGTGTCACTCCTTTTCTCTTTCTTGCCCCTTCAGCCGCAGTGTCCTTGAAAAAGCAGTGACTTTGCTGGTGAGCGCATCACTCTCCCTCTCCCTTTCTTACACACCAACGCTCAGTGACACTCACTCAACCCCCTGAACACACACACGCATGTTTAGTAAGTCCAATGCTGTCATGCGGAACAAGCTCTTACAAGTATTTCTCTTTGTTTCCCATGAATAATGTATTTATCCTGTGTGCGCTACACTTAATGCAAATATTGACAAAGTTATAGCGAAGAAAAACCGAGACAATCGTCCTCCACGTTGAGCGCAATTTCTGCCCTCCCACTGTTCAGAGAAACAGACTCCAGCTAGGTTATGTTCCCCAAAAGACACATTTCGAAGGAAGGTGAAGCGAGCCACCCTAATAGGTTTTTAAAGCACACTCCTTTGCATAAATAAATATGTGCCCTACAAAACATGAAAGATGGAGGGAAAAGATACATTTTGGTTTAAGTCTGTCAGTTTTGTTACTGTACTTCAAGGTTCATCACCGATTTTGTACAAATTGCCCTAAGCTGATACTGTAGTTAGGCCACCAGCTGGTAAACATGATCCCAGTTTGCCCTCCCCCTCATTAAAAGTGCCCTCCTCTAATCTAAGATCTGAAAAGCCCATTGTGACAGTTTTCCACAACTGTTGAAATATAGATGGACTCTGATTGTCTGCTTGTAAGCTGAGATCTTAGAGACTCTTGATGCTGTTTGTTCTCGTTGGTCTCCGTTTTCCATTAGACCGTGCTTTAGGTCACTGCTTCATCCTGCCACCTTATGTGTTTTCCTGCTGGAGATCAGGTGTCTTGCGGTGAGCTTGCTCGCTGCAGTGCTAAAATGACAGATGAGTTTCTGTAACTGAACATCCTGCATGTTTTTTCGCACTATGATTTTGTGCTGTTCTTGCATTCAGCCTTTAAGTTTTCTTAATTGTGTGATTGCTCACCCATTCACAATTTTTTCTGGTTATAGTTTATTCAGTAAGTTTTTCTTTGTAATCAAATTGCTTCTACGTGCATTATGTTCATTTTTGTTGCGATAACGAATTTTGTTGGGCGATTAACTGTCTCTGAAATTATTGCGATAAACGATAATATTGTTTGAAATTTAACCATAATTAATTGTCATATATGAGAAGAAATGTTGATTTGTTTTGAGTGTAGTACCTTTTTTTGACCACCTGATGGCAGTATAAAACAGTTTGAACCAAAGGATGGATGAGCAGCGAGTCTCTAAGAAAAATGTGAGGGAGGGTCCTTGACGTGACATGGGCTGACATGGTGACGTGGCGTACGCTTGGTGATTTCAGCTCCTTAGCCTAGCATTTTTCACACAAACCTTTTAATAAAAAAATCAGTAATCAAGTTCTCAGTTTCTTTTTGCAGAGAAAAACAACTTTTTACACCAAGGCACGAGTTTCAACCGTGAATTTTGGAGCTTGACAAGACGGAGGTTTATTC